GATGTAGTTGTTGAGACGAGGTTTCCGAAAATATAAAGAATGTTGAAATCTGAGTTATAACGAAGAAGTTATGACCTGTCGAAGTTTCGCGACAAAACCGGTGTGGCACAGCGTGACGTAAATAGTGAATTTACGAAGGAGTGATATTTAGTCTTAGTGATCAACACGAAAGACGTACATAATGTTGAACCGAGAGTATGCATAAAAAGAACACCTAAATCTGACTTCGTATGAGGAAGTTATGATTTTTTGAAGTTTCAGCTTCGTAGTAGACAACCCAAAAGTTCGAATTGAGATCGAGCGAATTTTATCCGAAACTTTCTAAAGGAGAATCGAAGATCTCGTTGATGGTAGTGCAACGACAGAAAGAGGGACGAAAGCGGATGTCAGACGAAGAAGTTATGAATTTCTAACAAAGTTTTTCTGTCCCGGCATACTAAAAATAAATAATAAACATAAATTAAAAATTAGCCAACGGAGTCTAAACGAAAGTTGTAAAGCATAATCTCACCTACGCGTGGATATAAAGAACGTCGAAAACGGAGCTCGTATGCAAAAGTTATGAATTTTTGAAGATCGTGGCACACATACCAAAGCTTATCCGAAGCGTACGCCCAACATAACCAAGATTACGCCCAGCGTAATACCGGACCCAGCATTCTATAAATAGAAACCAAGATCAGCCACTTGCCTTGCCATTTTTCTTTCTTTCTCTCTAGTTTTTTTCCTTGGTTTGCGTGCTAATTATATCCTGAATCCTCGGTATCATTCCCGAGTCCCGAAGCAAGTTTTGAAGTCCCGAAGACCCCGATAAGTAAGATTCCCGAGCCGAAGCTCTACCCACAAGGAGCTTATTTTTGTGAAGATCTACCGAAGAATATTACATCTACAAGTTGTAGTGCTGTCTGATCATCTTCTGATCAAGTGAGTGTGTAGTTACTTTCTTCTAATGCATAAATATGAAGTATTTTATATAAAACACATGTTATGTGTATATTTTGTTGTTATATGTGTGATCGTATATTCACCTTCTTCTATCTCATAGATATGACTTGTTTACTATGAAATACGTATTATGTGTATGTGTCTCATCTATTGTTTGGAATATGTATTGAATGAGAATGCTATACTGGTTTTAAACTATATATATATATATATATATATATATATATATATATATATATATATATATATCTACTGATATGTTGGGTAGAACATAGGTAGATAGTTGATGTCTGATAAACAGATGAGAGGCCTCGATGTCGTTGTTGTTGATCTAGTTATTCAGCGGAGTATGGATAACGACCACAAACTCTTTCTAGACAGTCCTGTGGAAAGCTAGTAGGCTCATAATCTATAGGCGTTGTGAACGATGTGTTCATCGGTGTAGTCTATCCCCCCCCCCCCCCCCAATGGTTGCCTTTAGGACATTTATTGCTGAGGAAACCCCTTGCAGTAATGTTCGTCCCGATGAAAATCCTAAATTAGGTTCCTTATAATAGATGTTGTTTTAGGGACGTAAAGTGAGGATAACGGGAATGGGTAATCGGGTTATTGTTGATTGTTGAAATTAAATAAAATTATTTATTGCAGGTTGAAAACCCTATATGCTCACCAGGCTCCCAAGCCTGACCCACTCAGTTTCTTTGTATTACAGGAAGTGGTGCGAGGGCATAAGATGGATGAATCATCAAGTTGGTTTGTTTACAAGTTTGTATATGTATATATTTGTTGAATGACTTGTATTGTTATCATTTATGCTTTATGGTCTGTATCGGAACATGACATCCCGATTTTGATTATGAAACGAAATTATATTTCTTTATGAACTATTTTGATAAAAATCTATTTGATCATGTTTTGTTTTTGGGAACAAATTCCGCATCTCTTTTAAAATCAAATGGATTTACTTTGAAAATGTTTAAAAAGCATAGGTCTTTTCTGGCCGAGATTTTGGGGATGTTACATGAAGTGAACTACTTCTCTTGGTTTATGGTATCCATCAAATTTAGGATTCTTTGTGCAAGCGTATTTCGATGCTGACTTAGGAGGCTATGGTCTTGATTGGAAAAGCACATCAGGTGGATGTCAGTTTTTGGATGGCAAGCTTGTTAGTTGTCAATCTAAAAACCAAAGTTGTGTATCCTTATCTACAGCTGAAGCAGAATACATTACATCGGCATCATGTACATCCCAATTGGTATGGAATTAGAACTAGCTAAGAGACTATGGAATCAATATGAAAAGAATTCCTCTATATTGCGATTACGAAAGTGCCATAAGAATCTTCCACAATCCAGCGGAACATTCCAAGACAAATCATATAGCACTGAGATACCATTTTATTAAGGATCATGTTGAAGATGGGAATGTTGAAGTTCACTTCATTCATTCCTCAGATCAGTTAGTTGATATTTTCACGAAGGCCTTACCAGAACTATCATTTAGTTGAATTCTATAAGGGTTGGGAATGATTGAAGCTGACCCAGTTCCGACATCCATTTCGTAATCGTTATAGTTACTATTCACTTTCTGAATGGTTCCGATCTTTGAAGCTGTCGGAATCAACTGTTCACTTCTGAATTGTTCCGAGCTTCGGAATGGTTCTGAAGTAACTGTTCATTCTAATTTCAGAGTTTTCTATCTTTGTAAGTCTTTTGTTCTTTTTATTTATTTCTGTTTTATTCTTTTCAGAAAATCAAAATTCCAAAAATATTTTATTTGTTTATGTATTTTCTTTACAAAAATTCAATACTATCAAAATTATTTTCTTCCTTTTAGTGTTCTGAAAATTCAGAAACACCAAAAATATTTTATTTTCAAAGACTTGATGGTAAATTCATTAGTGAATTTTAGTCTGCAACAAGGAACTGATGGTCAACTTTATCACTTCTTAATACCATATTTTATCAAGACTTTCATGTAGCTTCCTTGGCTATTGGGACACAACCAGTTTCGGTATAGGGCTACAAAAACTCTAGTTAATGATCGCAAAATCATTGTCAACATGATTTTCGTGAAACTCCCAACCATTCGACTACCAATCTATTATTTTGTATTATAACCATCAAGACTCTCTGGTTTTACCACTGAGGTTTAGGTTATAAAACATCTGTGTTTATGATCTTAAAATCATAATCACCATGCTTTCGAGTGATACCCAAAAATCCGAATATCTTTTCTGAATAGTCGGTGAACAATTTTATTATTCTAGATATTTACACAATGAATTGATGGATAAAGCCTCTTTGTTTGTACCTTTGAGTATACGAAATCTCATTTTTCCTTTTGAGTGATCTTAATGAAATGTTCTCAACCTAAGAAATTTCTTCCCAATAAGGTCTAGGTTTTTCTTAGATTTTTGAATGAAGATTTTCCAAAATAAATCGTTACTTTAAAAGAATATCCAAAGCTTACTTGTTTTGTGACTACACTGGTAAAACAAGTACTTCTTTCAGATCTTCGGACTTATATTAAGTTTCAGAATTTGTTTGAAGTTGAAGCCACCCCTTAAGCTTTGTAAAAGAAGCCTTTCATATTTTCTTAACAAACTGGTCATTGTAATTCAATGGGAAACTACACAAGCACTTCAGAGTCTCTCTTAACTCAGAAGGAAGATATCTTTGCCCAGGATCCACCAACTTTTTATGTCAATCTTGTTAGATATCATATACTCCCACATATAAAATTTTCTTTATTTCTTTTTATTTGGAACACTCTTGCACTAAAATCCTTGTGATTTTACGAATTTTGGTTTTTATTCCGAATGTTATTTGCAAAGTGGAAGGGTTGCTCAATGATTCCGAACATGATAATTCCGAAAATGGTGATTTTGAAAAGGTCATCTCATGATATTGGATAATTCAAATCTTGGCGTGACTTTTGAATTTCCCTGACACCGTGTGCTTGTTGTAACAGTTTCTGACAGTCATTGATGAGCCGGCACACTTTTATTGGCTAATTTTTCAGCACTACAGGAACATGAAATGGCGGTTTCTCTTTCCACTCATCATCTTTCATATAAAAGACTCTTAAACGGTCATTCTCTCTCACCGTAAACATTTCTCACGATTTTTCAAAGCAAAAGCAAATCTCACTATTGTTCATCTTCTTAATCATACTTCCATGGCATCCTCGGATCTAGTCTCCTTTGCTGATCATTCTGCATCAGTGATTATGTTGGTTGTTAAACCAAACCAAAACCTCATAATCAATCTCGATGCGTTGCGCTACAATGGCTTGATTAGACCTTTGATTGAGTGCTTGAAGTTTTCGCCATTTATAAAGGCTCTAACAATGGCTGAAGATGTTCCTCTTATTCATCTCTCTAAGGCTTTCTCGACTTCAATCTACAACAAATTTGAAGATGTTATTAACTTTGAAGTTTCAGATCACAAGACGTCGATCACGAAGCAAAATTTCTGCAGACTTCTAGGGCTTTTTAGCCCAGCTAGCCATTCACATCGTGAATTGGCAATTCATGTCGTGACCTTCAAAAAGTCGTGGAGGGGAGACCAGTTATACCAAACACTTTGACCCACTCCAGTTGTTTACTCATTTATCGCACACGAACGGAGACAAGGAACCCACAACCGATTTTTCTTCTACTTTTCTTCTAAATTGCTTGCATCTCTTGTCTTCTAACTTCATTTGGTAAATATTTCATCTACTAATTGTTGTTCGTATTTTATGCATTTTAGTGGTTAGGGTTTATTTAGATGTTAAAAATCCCAAAATTTGTAGAATTAGTTGGTATTTTATGGATGCATGGCCTTAGTGCGGTTCACGACAAGAAACGCCAGTTCACATCGTGAAGCCTGGGCAAACAGATTTCCAGTTTCATTTTTAACTAGGGAAGAATCCCCGCTTTGCGGGGTTGGACACGCCAAAGAGTATTCTAAATTTTTTACCAAGCATTCTTCTTTGAACGGTTTTGAAAGATAGTTATCCTAATAAGGCATTTTCCCAACTTTAAATGATATATGTGGGCATGGTTTTTTGTAAATAAAGCACGAAATGTTTTGTTTATTATAAAACAAACATGTTGAAGACACCATCCTCTTAAGTATAACTAATAAAATTTAATGTTATATGTAAATAGTAAATATCTGTTGATAATAAAATGCAAAAAACAGAGTATCTATTCCAATGTTATTAGATCCTAGTCTTTCCCAAAACGCTGGATTATTGACAATTGGAGCCTGCACTTGAGGGTAGAATTGTGGGGTCACAGCCGGATGACTCTAGAATAAATAAAATAAAAACATATTAATAAAATGTGATTATAAAAAATATATAAAATTAAAATTCGCATTTTCATACCGGAGTGTAGCTTTTTGCACGTTCAGAATCTTTGGGTTGTGGGAGTTTATACTTGGCCTACACCTGTAAAAGTAATGTCAGCAAATTAAAGAATTCATACTTCAAGGCTATGAGTAATCATAATTCGATTCACCTTGAAACTAACGGTCCAAGATAAAAAAATATATATATATATATCATGCCATCCCAAATAAAATTACACCCGCACACTCACCTTCTTCTTCGAACACATACCAATGTTTCGACCAAAACTCATAAAATCATCCACATCACCATATGTTATCATTGTCTTCTACACACAGTAGAACGATAGATATACAAATTAAGAATTATAAGCATAATTGTTAAGAATCTAAAGAAATATTGATTTTATACAGCTAAGATATTAAAAAATTCATGGAATTGAAACATGAGTACCAGAGAAAATCAGGAGAATGTTCCAAGAAAAATTTCTATTTGTGCAACAAAAATTCCAAAGTATCAATAACAAAATCAAAATCAAGAAAAAGTTAATACTAATATTTTATGTATCCTATCTATAGTATATGATGTGGGTATTAGATTCACTGATGAACAAACAGCTATCACAAATAAAAATCCAAACAAAGAATCTTCTGGAATGAAATAAATCCTTGAGTTCATGATGAAATATTTTAAACTGCTTAACAAATGCTTCATTGTATTTTAAACTGCTTAACAAATGCTTCATTGTATTCACGAGAATTCTGAGGTGTTCTTTCAAGCATTGCAACAGTAACTGATATTTCTACCTAAATTAATACCTCTAATTTCAAAATGTGTTCGGTAAGCTAGAATGAGATATGAAAGTTTTGTGAGAGCTCAGTTCTGAAGTATTTCCCCCAATTTTCATGCTACTGGTAGGAACTTTGTACATAGAGGAAAGTGATTGGTCACAAAAAAAAAAAGAGAAGCGAGAAAGGAAATTTATACAAAAATAATTCGGTTACAATACCTTAGTATCATTTTTAATGCTAATAATAGTGGTATATTGAATAAAAAACCACAAGTTTCTCTTAAGCATTTCATCGAGCAGGTGGAAGACAAACTAATTGTTGATAAAAATGCGACACACCAGAAAGGGTTTAGCTGTTGGGTATGACGATGGACCTTTGAAGACGGTCGCAGTCGGCGTCACCAGTTCCACAGTTCACCACCGGTGTTTTCAAGAGTTGCGTCGATAGGTTCGTTTTAAGAGAGATAGAGAGTGTGGATTAATGGCAGTCCCTTTTCATGGAACACATCACGATTCTTTAGAGACAATCAAAATCGATATCCTACAAATTCAACAAAAATTTGTGTGGGTGTGTCACATAAAAGAAATGAAATTCTTGAGTAGTCAAGAAAAAAATAGAGAACAAATGAAAATACTACACCAACAAAAACCGGAATGGCATTTCACCTTTGTAGTATCTACTATCTAAACGTAGCAATCCAATATATCAAATTCATTTCAGATAGAATTCACAACCGTACGCAATTCAAAAGTAACTTAAAACCAAAAGTGAAATGACCAACTTACGTTTCTATCTCAGACAGGAATTTTAAAGGAATGGAGGTGTGGAAAAACGATATTACTTCTTTTTCTGCGACTGGGTCACCATTAGACTCGCGATTTACAGCCCGTATTTTGAACCGATTTGAGGTTATCTTCTTGACAAAAGGAAAGAAGAGACGTAAGGAATAAAGTGGGGCTATGTAAGGGGGAAGTAAGAGGAGATAGGGAGGTTGTGATCCGATTGCACAGATAGAAGCGGTAGGAAGAGAAGGAGCATAGAAGAGAGTCGATTTGGTAGAGGACAAAGTAAGCGGTGGGGGAAGGATCAAATGAAGTGGCAGCAACAACGATGATGAAGGTATATACAAGAAAAAGAAGCGGTGGTAAGTTGATGGGCGAGTTTGGTAAAAGTAGCTGTTAGCTGGAAGCGGGTAGCGATTAGCTGGTAGCGGGTAGTTGGTAGCGTGTAGCTGGTAGCTGGTAGCGGAAAGTTGTAGCTTTTATTTGTTATATGAATGTTTGGCAAAAGTAGCTGGAAGCTTTTGAAATATATAAAATTACATAAAAGGACAATTTTATTAAAAATAAAAAAATATATAAATATATTTTTAAGGGTAATTATGGAAATTGATTTCAAAAGCTCCGGAGCGTTTTGTTAAAAGCTACATGAAGTAGCTTTTAGAATCGGAGCGTTTTGTTAAAACTAAAAGCTAAACGCTCGTACTGCCAAACGAAGCTTTTTGTTTAAACTGGAGCGTTTTATCAAAAGCTAAAAGCTAGAAGCTCCCAAACGCTTCCAAAAGCTCCATGCCAAACACGCCCGATATCTGATTGGATGCAATGGCGGTGGAACGATTGTCATGATAGAAGACTTAGTATAAGTGGGACACCTGGAAAATCTAGATGCCATAAAACAACACGCAACAATTTTGTATCATGGGTCGACTAAAATGAAACCACCAAATAAAATAAAATAAAAAACCAAAAAAAAATCCCAGCCAATCAGATGCAAGAATTGTTCATGTGGTACTTCAAAATATATATATATATATATATATATATATATATATATATATATATATATATATATATATATATATATATAATGAGACATCTTTGGTGTTTTGTTTTGTTTTTGGTCATTGCAGGAACATGGGTCCTAGAAGAGCAGTCCAGCAGGAGAATGACCAAATTGATGTTGAGAGCATTCACTCATTATACCGGTTTTCAGAAAACCTATCCCGCGCTTTGTTGCCTAGTTATGAAATTTGGTTAGGATGGTTATACAACCGCGAATTTGCAATTGCACATATTGTTGATTGGGGTTGGTACGGTCTTGGAGTTGGAGAGATATTGGAAAAAAAATAGAAGGAGATGGTTTTACATTCACTTACCATGGTTGGAGGAATCTTTTTGCTATTCAAGAACCCGTCTATCAGGAGTTGTCGGTAGAGTTTTTTGCTACCGTAAGCTTTGAGGAAAGGGCCATTGATTTTGACTACAACCAGGCGCTTGTTTTCCGATTCGAAGGCGTGTGTCGTGAGTGCAGTCTTCGCGAGTTTGCATGGCATATGGGTTTATACACCGAGGTGGAAACGCAATCACCATTTTTGTGCCATTCTTCCAAGGGTGTGTTCGGGATTTTACCCCCGGTGTTTTTGATGTCCAATTCTGGCAGACCATCTCGAATCACGAGTATAATTCTCGTGAAGCAAGTGAGGGACAAATTAGGAGTCTCGTTCATCAGTTTTTGCATCGCCTCATCACCTTTTCCGTCAATCACAAACATCATGGAGACAAGGTGCCAATCCAAAATTTGTTCTACTTGTGGAGCATCATCACACTCGAGATTTGTTGTGATATTCCTTATATGTTGGCCAGGTTTTTGGGAAAGAAGGCAGCTAGTTCTAGGCCTTGAAGTCCTATCACGGGTGGACATTTAGTCGCCCCGCCTTGCCCAGTCATATGGGATTTTGTCTCCTAATTTTATTAGGAACCTTACTCGCTTCCCGGACAATGATTTGACAATTCGATTCTTGGGTATTATGAGGGTTGTAGTGAATGTAGGGGGGATATGAGATACCCCCGGAGGATGATGAGCAACAACATGGGCAACCCGATCAACAACCTCAACCAAGGCCCCAAAGAAGAAATGTGAGAGCCCAGGGAGACATGGAGAGAGATCGAAGAGCGGCACAACAATATGCGGGTGGAGTACCCACCGATCCATTTCAAAGTCGGGTTGGTTCTTATTTGGATAATCTCCACGGTGGGATGACTTACAACACTCAAGTTCTTGAAGCCATGTTCTCTCATATGAATGCGGTGCGACCACCCACCGTTCCACCTCAGTGCCCGTATATCTCGACATGGGAAGAACTTTGGATTCCAAGGGGCGATGGAGCGGAACCAAGTGGAGCTCAAAGAGATGAAGATGATGAGTGATCGCTTTATTTTGTGTAGTTTTTAGTTTTTAGCTGATTTGGTTTTTTCTTTTGTTTTTGAAATTTGATTTGTCTTGTAAGTCTCGTTAAGCTATTATGTTACTTTTCTATTTCTTTTGGTTGTTAATTTCCAGATTTGCTAAAGGAGTCACCGAAAAGGAAGGTCGAGAGGTGAGGGCATGTACGTCTAGCCACACGTCGTTTAGAATCAAGAGTCAAGACCCACAATTTGAAATAAGTGTGGGGTGAGTCGAGAGAGAGGGTAGAGTTAGAGAATAGTCATTAAAATAGAGTTTGGGAAGAGTCTTAATGGATTAAGACATTAGTGAGAATTCTAAGTTGAAAGAAGAAGTGGAGGATTTTTTGTTCCTGTCCGTTCAGTTTTCACGACGTGATATACCGGTTCACGTCGTGAACCAGAAATCAATGGATTTTCATAATACGTTTTTAAGCGACATCACGTCGTGTTCCTTTTCTTCACGTCGTGAATCCGTATGTTTCACAAAAATGAAGCCCATTGATGCATTTTACTTCATGGTTCACCACTTTTGTTCTTGGGATTATTATGAAGATTATTATGACTCGTTTCTTTTCTATTATGCAATGCGGCGTATGCTTTCCCACATTGTTCTTCTCACGTTGGAGATTTGCACCACCTTTATTGAAGATTGAAGTTTCGATTCCACATTTTGTTGGCGCTTTACATATTTCGTTAGTTCAAGATCCAAGTTCCTATCTAGAAGAAGTCCACATTCGAGATGCACATTTCATCCGCATGATTGGAGATCTCGCTACTACTATCTCAGGGGATTCTGTCCTTTTTCTCACTTTTATTGCTTTAATTTGTTTTATGCATACAATGAGGGGATTGTATGTAAGAAGTGTGGGGTAGGGTTCGAAAAAGTAAAAAGTAAATTGCTAATTTAGACAATTTAAAAAAAAAAAAAATTAGTAATAAATTTTAAAAGGTTTAAAATAATAATCTAATAATTAATCTAGTAATGATAATTTGAACTTTAGTTGCTAGTATTATATGGGGTGATCCGATAAGAGCTCAAATGTTTAGTTGAGCCAATATACGTTATAGTGCATTTGTAGCCTCCTTTATTCTAGTGAAATCATAGGACAAAAACACAACCTCGCTTAGTTTGAGGGATGCAATATGTTTAGCACCATGTACTTGAAATGTATCCAGGAAAGCTTATGTAGTCATTGCACATAGACTAATGTCTTAACCAATAAGGGTTGAAGTTAAGCGCCCCTGCTTAAGCATGTAGATTTTGAGTGAAAAAAAATGAGTACATGTAAAAAAAAAAAAAAAAAAAAAGAAATTATCGAAAATTTGAAGAATTTTTGGAGCAATCAAAGTATAAAGTATGAAGATCGAAGATCAAAAATTATGAAAAATCAAAAGTTGAAGATACAAAAAAAAAATCAAACAAAAAGGTGGTGGATTCAAAGAAACCAAAGATCAAATAACAAAGAAAGTGAAGAATTCAAGAGCTCCATATTGTAGTATCTTAAAGTTGTCATTCTCTAGATTATGTATGCTTGGGTAGCTTTACAAAAATACCATGAGGTTGGAAAGTTTTTCTGCAGATGGATTCGGAGGGATGCATAAAATGAGCATTGCTCAAAAGAAGTGGGCGAGTGTTTATGAGGATTGTGAGTATTTAGAATTAAGGAGGTCCATAGGAAAACTTTAGACACAAATGCATGCGTTGAGGTCTTGGCATAATGGTTGAGCTTGAGTCGGATCGTTCTATGTGATGTTGATGATGAAGTTTTGAATTAAAAATAATTAGATTTGCTTGAGGGCAAGCAAATTATAAGTGTGTGATATTTTGATATTGCAACATTTATACATATTTTTAGGCAATATTTATTTATATTATTATTAATATTTTGGTTACTTGCATTGAATAATGGTACTTTTGAGGATAAATTGTTCTTTGCAGCCAAGTAGAAGCATTTTTGAAGGATATGGACTAAAAACGGAAAAACATGGAACTTTGGAGACTTGGAGAATAAATGAAGAAGAAACCTACGAAATCAGATACATTCACAACGTGAACCGCAAGTTCACGACCTGACATGAGAATTCTGGAAGATATGTACGCGCAAAGTAATAATCCTTTCCCGATAAGAACTTTTTCTAATTAACAACGTGAAGCGCAAATTTTGAGATAACTATACAAAATCTTGCACATTACGGCTTAAAGAACTTTTTGGCTGATTAAGAGAGTTACTGGAGACAAAATTCAGAAGAAGAAGAAGAGTTCTGGAATAGGGTTTCAACACCTAAGGAGATGAGAAGTTCATATTAGTCTAAGAATTCGGTAATTATGTTTTTGAGTATGAGTTATTTGAGTTTATTTGCTAGGATGTCCGGCTAAATCTAGTTGGTTTTGTTAGCTAGATGAAGTTGGAACTCATTGTGTAATACTTTATCTTTGATTTACTTGTTGGTTAAGACTTGTGTTAGATTGATTGAACCTAGCATGTTTGATTTAATATTTGATTGCTTTGATTTCTTATTCTGTGTAGTTGATGACCATTAATTTGCATGAATTAGAACACCTGGTAATTTAGTGAATATTAAATTATTAGAGCTAGGATCAAACCAATCTTAATTAAGCAATAAATTATTGAATTAGGCTGTGCTAGAGAACTCAAATTATTAATATAATTGTGTTTTGTTAATCAAACTTACATAGCTCCAATCCATTAAATAATTGATTATGTTTTAAATTAAGTGTGAACATACTTTGATCTACATGAATTGATTGAATATTAGTAAATTTGGAGTTGAATTGCTAATACTTTATTAATTGGTAACCAACAGTAATTATCATAGCTAATTTATAAAGCATTGAGGGAAAGTAGATTTGAACTAACGAAAGTGTTTTGTTAATTGATTGAATTCGTGTTAGGAATTAAGTTTATCTAAACATGCAAAATTAGATAAATCCCCATTCTTTGTTAGTAACTTAGGTTAATTTAATAGTAGATATAGTAATTAGATAAAACCGTTCCCTGTGATTGACACCCGACTTACCCGACTATTCTATAATTTGACTAGGTACATTGCCTAGGTGCAATTTAGTTAGTTAAGTTAGTTAGGTTATAAATTTAAAATTAGGTGTAGCTATTTACACGCATCGGTGGCAAACCGAAGCGAGGGTGTAAAAGGAAGGCAAAGGTCACTACTTCAGAAACTATCAGAACTCCGAAGAAGAAAAATAAACAAGTTCAGAAACCATGGTCTCGGTCTCCAGTTCTTCAAGAACAATCTAAAGAAAGGATCGAGTCAAATATTTAGGGGACGTCAGTTCTTCGAAATGAAGAGGATGATACTACTCACATTTCTGAGCCATCACCTATTGAGATAATTCAGAAGGTATATTCTCCACCATCTTCCTCTATTCCCACATCTGATATTTTTGAATCTATTATCCGAGAACCA